GTGAGCTGCGATGCCATGACATTCTACCCAGAGTGACATAGTGAGACTCTGTCTCAAACAAACAAACAAAACCATTACATGTTAACCAAAAATGAGATATTGTTTAGTGAAAATGTTAATATTTATATTCATCTCCTCTCCTCCAAAAAAGAAAGAAAGAGAGCTGGCATTGTTTTATATTTTTATATATCTTAAAAAGAACTGGATTCTCCTGACTGCTTCTGAATTCAGTCAGTTGTGATGTGCTAGTTGGCGGAAGCATAAGGCCATATGGCCGCATACAGCTAGGTAGCTGGAAAGGAGAAGTGTCTTTATAGCTTTTTCAGATAATTCTGGCTATTCTTCTTTGATATTAAATCAGAAATTGGTTAGTGGTATTTTAAAGATCAGTTACAATGTGGATCTGAAACCACATGGGTAGCCTTTTTGTAATCTCTACACTTGAGAGTGGAGTAAGTGTGAAAAAGGCAAATGTCATCACTCTACATGAAAGTGCTTTGACTCCGTGGGCTTCCTGCGTGTCAGGGACACTCAGGGTCTCTGGACCATCCAGTGAGAAATGCTGGCCTATGTCGGTACGAGCCAGGCAGGTTATGTACCATAACCGTCGTAACACTAGTAGTTAGCAGATTGGAGGGAAATGACAACAACAACAGCACATATAGGGAGAAGGCCTGTAACCCGGGGCTCTGTCTCCTTCAGGCAGAACCTGCAGCTGAGGAATCTCAGGTGCCTGCGGAACACTGCAGCTCGCGTACCAGCAGCAGGAATCTGTGTTTCAGGTGTCTATTGGGCTGAATGCATCCATACTGAGGCCCTTCATTGTAGATCGTCCCCGTGGGGTCAAAGAAAGGCACATAGCCATCCTTGCCGGTACAGAGGTAGACTTTCTCCAGCTGGAGCTTGTAAGCAGAATTAAGGTTTTGCTCTGGATTCCAAAGTACTCGGCCATAAAGGATTTGGCCTGAAAAACATCGAAAGACCTTAATTAGGTCATATTTTAAAGAAAATGAAAGGTCAAAGGTAGAAAAGATGTAATACACTCCCTTAGAGTCAAAAGTACCTTTCTATCAAGAGTTGTTTGATTCCCTGTACCCCTAAAACTCTCATTTGTTTATTGTTTCTTTTATTCAGTGAGTGCCGATTAACCATTTAAAGCATGCAGATGCAGGTGAGAGGACAGAGATGGAGGCACAGTGAGTGGTCAAAATGGGCAACCATTACCACGTGCATTTCAGTTGCCAGGTTCTGTACTAAGTCCTTGTGTAACAAGTCAGAGTATTCACACAATTTAACAGAGGAGGAAACCTCAGCTGGCCAAGGGCCTTGCTGCAGGATACAAAGCTAGTAAGTGGTGAGTGTGTGATTTGAAGTCAAGCTACTTTGGCTCTACAAGCAAAGCACTAGGGTGCTCTTAGCCCCCACCACCCTGTACGGTCAGTCACACACTCCCATAGATGGAGCTGTGTCGTTTTCAGTGAGTATAAAGCCAAGTACAGAGGTCTGAAGGGAAGGAGGACAGAGGTACTTAGAGAGAGGTGACCTTTGGGCAGAATTCTGAAACATGATTAGGCATTTGTCAGACAATCATCTGGGGGAGAGAGAGGAAAACCAAACCAAACCAAACAAACCAAAACAAAACACAAAAAAACCAAAAAACCCAAACCAAGTGTCTGTACAAAACACTGGCTGCTACAAGGGCGTGTGTCTTGGTGTGGACCTCGCTTCCTCAGCGTCTGCTATACACCAAGGGGTGGTCCATGCTATGGGCCCTCTACCTACACTATCTTATTTAATCCCTCCCCCCCCCCCCCCGCCAAAGCCCCCAAAAAAACTTAATCACTGTTCCCATTTTAGGTGACTCATCCAAGGTTCCACAGTGATGCTGTGTGGGAGGAGGGTCTGAGCCCACAGCCATCTGATTCCAACATTCGCTCTGTGGGACTGAGTCAGTGGGTGTGACTGGGGGGAGGATATGTGGAGGCTCCGCTGGGAGCCCCTCCAGGTTCACGGACTGTGCTGAGGATGCTGAACTTGGACATATGAGTGATCGGCAACACTGAAAGTCTTCAAGCAGGGGAGTAACATCAATACACCTGGCCTTGGAAACAGAGAATGGAGCAAGGACAAAGAGACTTGGGTCACAGAGACCAGGGACGAGGCTATTTTAATGCTCTTGTGTGAGACAAGTACCTATAATATAACTGTGAAGCAAGGGGATGAATTTGAGAAATGTTTAGGAGTCAGATTCCATTTATCTTTATTATTATTATTATTCTTTGAGACAGAGTCTTGTTGTGTTACCCTGGTTAGATAGATAGAGTATAGTGGTGTCTTCATAGCTCACAGCAACCTCAAACTCCTGGGCTCAAGTTATCCTCCTCCTCAGCTTCCAAAGTAGCTGGGACTACAGGCATCTGTCACCATGCTGTGCTAATTTTTCTATTTTTAGTAGAAATAGGTCTTACTTTGTTCAGGCTGGTCTCAAACTCCCAAGTTCAAGCCTTCCTCCTGCCTCAGCCTCTCACAGTGCTAGGATTACAGGTGCCATCTGCCTTAATGACAAATGTGATGTGGGACATGAAGGAGAAGTTGGGGATAGCCCTGAGGTTTTGGCTGGGGCACCCAGAGGATGGCAATGCAGTCGATGGGGAAGCAGACACAGGAGGAGCATGTGTGGGAGGAGATAAGTCTGGTGCTAGACATCTCCAGGTGTCTGAAAGACCCCTACTGGGAGAGCATTGCTGGTTCCAGAAATGCATGTGGAAATACAGAATGAAGCACAGAAAAGACCAGGGAGAAGGCTGGATTTTATGGAATGGCTGCAGGGTCATAGGAGTATAAGGAGTTCAGGAAAGGGGTGGTCCATGCTATGGGCCAAGCAGAGCAAGGACAGAGCAAGGACAGGGTGAGCCAAGCATGGAACTCGAGGATGCCAGTGCACAAAGGGCAGAGGATGAGGACAGTGCAAAAGAGAGAAGAAGCGATCTGAGAGGCAGCGCGGCATCCAGTATGACTGGTGCAAAGAAAACTGACAGGAGAAAAGCATCGAAACCATAGATTTGGTGTTGCTGACATGAGAGAGGCAGGCAGAGTCCAGCCAGTGACAGACAGAGGTGGGACTGGGCTGTGGGGGCAGTGCAGGCTTACCACTCCTTCAGGGAGCTCTTCAGGGAAAGGAAAAGGAGAAATTGACTGGAGTCTGGGGGCAGTTGGGCTGAGGGGAGGTTTATTTCTGTGATGGACACAACTTGAGTGTGTTTTTAAGATAAGGGAAAAGATTCAGGATATGAAGAGAAGGTGAGAAGTCACTGAGAGAGGAAGGGCAGGTAATTCCTTCGTTCCTCACTCAGCATTCTTTATCGAGCATGCAGGCCCTGGAGATGTGCAGATGTGATATTTGATCCCAGTCTCTGTTATCCTGGAACTTAAGGGTCTAGCAGTGGAGAAGACAATAAAGAAAGAAATATATAATATGTGCGTGATATAATATTAAAAGCTGTGATAAGTACTATAAATATTGAATAGCATTCTGTGACAGTGAAAACTACTGAGGCCCAGGTTAGACCATCTGGTGTGGCCAGGGAAGGCTTCTGTAAGGAAGCTGACATTTAAGTAGAGACCTCAATGACAAGAAAGAAAACTAGCATTTTGAAAATCCAAAGTGGGGGTGGGGGTAGGGCCTAAGGGGCCGTTTCTAGCGGACCATTGGGCATCTCTCTGGACCTGGAGGCAGTGGGATGCGGTGGAATCTCTCTGAAGAGCTGAGAAACAGAACAACTTACTCCAAGTAGGACAGCATGCTAGAATCTGGGTGGAAACTCCAGACTTCTTTCTGCTGGACCAGGGCTCTTCCAAGGTACCACACTGCTGATTGTCACAGTGCTAAGGATGTGATTTGAGTTTGAAACAACGGCAAGGAAGGATATGGGTCTGGTCCTTGACCCAACCTTGGCTGCCCTGGAACCAGCACTGGGGCATCTTCACTGGGGAGCTAAATGAGAGCTGATAAGCAGAGATGCTACCCAGGAGCTTAGCCAAAGCTTCTCACATCCAGACACAGCCTCTTCCCGCAGGTTGGGGAAGCGACTTACCCTTTGAGAAGGCTCCTTTATAATCCATCTCTGCCAGGGACATGTCAGACGTGCTGGGGTCCATCAGGAATACCTTCTCATTATTGCAGAGCTGGAACTCAGTGTTGAGAGAGTACACGACAGGCACAGGGCGGTTGGTTTGCTGGAACGCGATAGGGATCAGGAACCTGAATGTGGGGAGACAGGAGCTCTGTAAGGGCAGGGCCAGCTTCACGGATGCCATCGGAGCTGCCTCTGCCTCTCTTCCCCACCCCATTCAGCATGCACAGAGTTCTGCTGTGGGTGTTAAATATTTACTGGATAAAGAGGTGTGGGGGAACTTATTTGGTCATTATGAAGTTAATCAGCTCTTTTGAATGGGAATAACTAGTCTTTAGAATTCTTAGTTTGCCTTTGATTTTTTCCTACCTTTTCATTCCAGGGTCCCCCACAGTTGCTCTTTGACTGCTAAGGGCTGCTGCCAAGGTGCCCATCTAGACATTTCCCAGGGCATGATGCTCTGGACTTTGGCTCTTTTGACTCAATGGAAACATATTTACTTTGGGTTGCATTTTTCTGGACTTTGGTGGGACACGCGCCCCTCACTCTGGCCTCCCTCCTGGGTCCCTTCCTTCTTTGCCTCCATCTGGCAGGTAAAGGGTCCTTAAGGCTCAGTCCTGGGACCCTTACTATTCCCCTTCACAATGTCACCTGAGGTGTTGCAGCCTTGTCAGTGCCATTTCAGAGGCAGTGAAACCAAACTGAATCCTCTGATCCTCATTACCCCTCTAAGTTCCAGAAGCCCATTATTTGGCTGCCAAATGGCAGCTCTAGGTGGCTGTCTCTAAGACACCCCAGACTCAGCGTGGTCCTCCCTCACAAACTTGAGCCCCCTTAGTGCTCCTATCCCACTCCTATCCCTACCCCATGGCCGGTGCCAGCCCCTTGGCTGTTCTCCCGGGGTCACTCTTAGCTCCCGCTACATCTAGTCTATGTGCTGTGACGGAGGTGGTGCTAGTGCTGTTTTTAAAAAGCCACATTTGGTCAAGATCCCTCAGTGATTTCCTGCTGCTCTTCAGGTGAAGACCAGCGCTTCTGCCATGTGTACAGTGCTCTGGACTTCTCCTATTTTTCCAGCCCCATCTCCCGCTGCCTTCTCCCTCCCCTCCCTTTCTGGATCCAGCCAGGCTGGCCTTGGCCTTGTTAGGCCTTTGACCTCTACTGCCTCTGGACTCATTTATTCAACAGACACTGTTATAGAAACAGGAATTCATCTGTCGACAAAACAGGAAAATGTGTCCTCAGGGAAGTTACACTGTAAAGAGGAGACAGTTGGTAAACAAAGTAAGTTTAAAAAACAATAGAGCATGCTTGATGGTCACAATAAGGAGAAACATTAGCAGAGACAGGGAAGTCTGGGAGGAGTTTCAGCTGGAAATTCTAAGTAATGTGGTCATGGAAGTAAGTTGGGAGCCATCATCAAACAGTATGAAGGATCCTCGAACAAATCAGAAAGAGAACTACCACGTACGGGCCCAGCAGCCCTACTCTGGTACAGTCCCAAACCAGCCACATCAGCACCTCTGAGGCAGCCGCACTCCATGTTCAATGCTCACAATGGTAGAGACCCGGAAACCACAGTGTCCACCAGGAATGGGTACAGAAAACATGGTGTGCCCCCACCCCCGCCACACAGAGGAATATGCTGTCATTGAAGACCACACGGATAAACATGGAGGACATTATGCTGTGTGAAGCCAGACAAAGGAGGAAAAATACTGCATGATCTCCCTTATATGTGGGATCTCAAAAGGTTTTATATATAGAAACAATAAGAACGGTGGTTACCAGGGGCACAGAGTGTGGGGGTGGGGATGTGAGGCTGCAGTTAGCTAGGATGGATGATTCTAGAGATACAACCAACAGCACGGGGACCACAGTTGATAATATCATATCGTACTGGAAGTTTGCAGAGTAGATTTCAGCTGCTCTTACTGCACACACGAGAAAGGTAACTGAGGAGAGGGATACGCTGATTTGCCTGACACTGCAGTAACCATTTCACTATGCCTATGTCTATCAAAATATCATGCTTGCACCTTAAAAATGTGTAAAAGAAGGAAGAGAGGAAGGATGGAGGGAAGAAAAAGTCAGTCGTGGAAAGCC